CTGGGTTGTTGTTGCACCCTTGGATGACATGCTAAGGCACTGGGTTGGAGTACAACTGGGTTAGGCAGGCATGTTCAGGCCTCCTAGTCATGAGTGCAGATTCTGGCTCTGGCAGGCTGGGTAGGGTGGTCTCTGAGACTCTGGCAGAATGGTTAGGGGAATGTGGCAGCAGCTACACTGCAGTTCTGCTACCAGGAAGGGGAGAGTTGCTTGCAGCAGCAGCAGCTGTGTGCAGGTGGCTGGTGAGTGCGTCTCTCCCTCATCCTTTGGCATTGGTAACAGGATCCTATCATGGTGGTAGCAATAGGCTGGAGAGTTTGTCCTCAGGTAGGAGGGAATTTCCAGTGACTTTCCTGTGTAGGACAGTGAGGTCATTGTCAATGTCTCACACTTAAGCCAGGTAGTGGCATCTAGCCAACATGATAGCACAGGTAGGGGATGTCAGTGGGGCTCCAGATATATGAAAATTTGGGGGTGTGGGACCCCCAGGCAGGCTTAAGTCTGGTGGGAGCTCGGCTTAATATAATGCCTTGGTGTAGCTGCTTAGGACTTAGTGTTGGGATCCAGCAAGAGCTCCATCTCTGGAGCTATACTCTCACATGGTTTCTGGGCAGGGCCTAAGGGCTCTCCCATTGCCAGGACTGCAGGAGTCTGTTCCTGGAATGTGACTGCAGGAAGTCTCCCATTCATCCTTTCATTGTACTAGGGAGCCTCTCCAAGCTGACAGCTAATCCTGACGGTGTAGGCTATTGCACTTCGCCCTCCTTTCTTTCTTTTTTTTTTTTTTCCCAGCTGAGGATTTATTGGCGTAAATGCAACCATATAAAAACATAAGTTATGAAAAACACAGTCACGATGTGCCCCCTACCCCATCCCCCCAGCCCAGACCCCCAAACCTCCTTCTGTGGGAGGGAGGGAGAGGAAGAGTAAGCCCAGAAACCGAACACCACAGCCCCTGGGCCCTGCAGGGCCGCCTGGAGAGCAGGGCCGCCTCAGCGCATCCGGTAGTCAATGGAGCAGGACAGCTCACACAGCTGGCCCTTGAAGTCCAGGTCAATGGTAAAGTCCAGGTCCCGATTGTTCTTGGCATTGGGCCGCATGCCTATGGTGCCAAAGATCTCCTCGCCAGTCTTCACTGTCAGGTAGTCCTCCATGTAGAACAATGTCTCCTTCCAGTGTGTGTATGGGGGCTCGGGGCTGGTAGAGAAGCCGGTCCTCTTGTGGCAGCGGGTGAACTCGATGTTGAAGTAAGCCACCAGGGCGTGCACGTAGTCATTCCGCTTCACTTGCAGACAGACGAGAGAAGTGAAGGTCAGGCCTTCCACCTTGACAGTGTAGATGTCCACCTCCTTTATGAGGCAGGCATTAGTGACCAGCTGCTTGGGGTCCACCACGTCCACTAGGGGCTTGATGGCCACATCTTTGATGCAGGACATATCAAAGCCGTACACGTTCTCCCACCAGTGGATCTTGTAGTCTTTGTACTGTTGGTCCTCAATAGCTGTTACATACAGTGTGGCTCGGTCTGGGAAGATGAGGCCATCAGGCGCCAGCCACTTGTCTCGGGCATATAGCACGGTGCTGAGCATGGACTCGTAGAAAAGGCAGTAGCCCATTCACTCAATGATGATGATGTCCACCTTTTCCACCGGCAGCTCCACTTCCTCCACCTTCCCCTTGATGATGGTCACCACATGGTCTAACTTGTTGGCTTTGACGATCTTCACCGCATAATCAGAGATTCTGGAACACTCGATCCTGATAACCTTATGGGCCCCAGCCTTGGCAGCAAACATGCAGAGGATCCCTGTGCCCGAGCCTACGTCCAGCACCACCTTGTCCTTGAAGAGGTGCCGGTTGTGAAACATGGAGTTACGGTAGGTGAGGGTGCACACCTCATCCTTCAGCATCTCCTAATGGATGCCAAAGTGGGTGTAAGAGTCGAAGTAGTAATCTTTGGACGTCATGTCCTCAGCATTGGGCTTCTCGCTGCTTTCCGCCTGGCCACAGGAAACCTCCAGGATGCAGTTCACGCGCTGGGCTGCCGCCATCTTCACCCGTACCTATTCCTCCTCCGGTCGTTGAGACCCCCCCTTTATCTCCCCCTCCTTTCTTGCTTTGCATATTTTCTCTCATTTTTATGTTGAATTCCAGGGTAATCTTTTAGATGATCTATTCAAAGTGTGATTATCTACTTGCTATTTTTGTTTTCT